TCCAAACCGGGCGGTCTTAAGGTGATAATCAAGATATTTTGATAAGAATTGAATTGGTGCAGCTGAACTTCAGGGATGGGACATCATACAGTATAGGAAACATAAATGAGAATGGAAGAGATTGCAGGATTTGATGGTGCAAAGTCATCGAAACCAAGATATGGAGTATATTCGGAGTTTATCGAAGCACAGGAGAAATTTAATAATTTGACTACAAAGAAGGATACGTATTGAAAACAACGTGTGGAGATGCATTAATTACGTGACAAGGATCTTAATACAAAATTTTTCCATCAATCTGCCACGGTTTGTAAGAAATTTAAAAAAAAAGCATTAGATGAAGGAAATTGATCAGGTTGGATTATGTCATATTGCTAGAAACTATTTTGAAGAAATTTTCACGGCAAAAACTAGTGAGCAGGAAGAAGTTCTAACACACATCAATCCTGTTATAACAGAGGGTGATAATACAAGGTTGATTGCCCCACTACTCATGGAAGAATAATACTCTACATTATGCAAAATGAATCCCAATAAATCTCTGGGTATGGACAGGTTTAATCCTGCTTTCTATCATAATTTTTGGAATCCTGCTTTCTATCATGATTTTTGGAATTTGTGTGGTAAGGATGTTTTTTAGGCAGCCAAGCTTTGGTTGGATAGAGGTTTTTTCCCGTCATCACTTAATGATACGAATGTGTGTTTGATCCTTAAAAGTGCCAACCCTCACGATATGAAGGATTTTCGTCCTATTTCCTTATGTAATGTGATTTATAAACTTGTGTTTAAAGCACTTGATAATAGATTAAAAGGAATTCTTGATAAATGTTTGGTAGAGGAATAATCGGCGTTTGTGGAGGGCCATTCTATCCTGGATAATGTGATGATTGACATAAAGGTCATCCATGCTCTTAAGAGAAAGACTAAAGGTAGTAAGACTTAGTTGGCTCTTAAGGTTGATATTAACAAGGCATATGATAGAGTGTATTTGAGCTTTCTCCGTGGTAAGCTTTATAGAATAGGGTTTGCAGATAAATGGATTTATTGGATGATGATGTGCTTCACCTCGGTGCACTATATTGTTCTTGTTAATTCAGATAAAGTTGGATCGACTGAACCAGGGAGAAGTTTGAGGCAAGGGGACCCACACCTCTCCTTACCTTTTTATCTTAATGTTTGAAGGTCTTTCAACTCTTATAAAGGGAGCAGTGGCTAGAGGCGAAATTCATGGGACCCAAATATGTAGAAGGGCACCCACTGTGTCCCACCTTCTTTTTACTGACGATTGTTTTTTGTTTTGTAGGGCTAATCTCTCTGAAGTAAGACATCTTATGAGTTTGTTCAGTATTTGTTCCAAGGCCTCAGGGCATGAGATAAACTTGAATAAATTGAAGTATTTTTTAGCCGAAACATTAGTAATTCAGCCAAGGAGGATCTTGCAAAAATTATTAGAGTCCGTCATGTGTTGGGAATTGGAATGTATTTAGGTTTGCCCTCTATGATTGGTAGATGTAGGAAGGCAAATTTCTCTTTTATCAAAGATTATACCTGGAACAAAGCTAATTCATGGAGAGGTCGAGCTTTATCAAAAGCAGGAAAGGAAGTTATGATAAAATCGGTGCTCCAAGCCATTCCCTTCTATGTTATGAGCCTTTTTATTCTCCCTGATGCGGTTTGTCATGATGGGGATGAGATAGCAATAATAGGGGAATCCATTGGATGGCCTGGGATAAATTGGCTTGCACTAAGAAGGAATGTGGATTGGGATTTAGAGACTTTAAAGATTTTAACATGTCCATGGTTGCTAAACAAGGTTGGAACTTATTATCCAAGCCTCATGCTCTTGTTTCTAGAATCTTCAAAGCAAGGCACTTTCCTAGAACATCCTACTTTGAAGCTAATATCGGTTGTAACCCTAGTTTTGTGTGGAGGAGTATTTGGGAGGCGAATGATGTCTTATCTTTATGTTGCAGGTGGAGCATTGGAGATGGTAGTCAGATCAAGGTTATGCACGAGTCTTGGATCAAAGGCAAGAGGAATGGGTGTCTGAGTGGCCTCCAGAAGTAAGGTGCGTATGACATTACAATTACAAGTCTAATGTTGCCTAATGTGAAATAATGGGATTTGAGGATTGTTATAGAATGGTTTAATTGTGCAGATGCTGAAGAAATCTTACAGGTGCCTCTTTTGGAGGAAGTTAAGGATGATATGATGATTTGAAAGGAAGAACAAAATGGGTCCTACAATGTGCATTCTAGGTACAAGTTATGGAGGAGTTTTCGGAGGATGCATAAGAATCTGAGAGGGGAGGAGGATTGGAATAGTATCTGGAATATTAAAGCCCCACCAAGGGTTAAACACCTTTTGTGGAAAATTTGTAAGGATCGCTTACCGACTCGTGCAAGACTCCGAGAACACCATATCCCTTGTCCTTCTACGTGTTAGTTTTGTGAGAATAATCTTGAAGATGATTGGCACTTTTTTTTGGTTGTGAAGTGGTTAACCATTGTTGGAGGGCAGTAAGTTTGTCCATTCTTATAGATGCTCGTGTACATTCTTTTTTTGATGCTAAATCACTGATATTTGACATATGTAGCAAGGAGGGTATGAAGGTTGCTGTTAGATTTGTTGTTATGTTAGATGAGATCTAGAAGAATAGAAACAACCTCATTTGGCACAACGATCACGAGGATGCTCCTAAGCTCGGTTGGTTAGCTTTTCATAAGTGATAGAAATGGTTTATGGCCCAAAAAAAGTTTGATCCGGTTAATAACCACTCGTTTCCTACTAATTGGAGTCCACATATGGAAGGATAGTTAAAATGTAATATGGATGCGGCGTTTAATAATCATAGTGACACTTGTAATAGAGGTTGGTGTGTGCGTAATCACAGTGGGAGTTTCATTTCTACAGGTGTGGTTTGGGACCCCGGAACTATGTCAGTGTATGAAGCTGAAGCTTTGCCTCTAAAAGAAGCAATCCATGAAGCCATAGATTTACATGTGGAAAAAGTAGTTTTCGAAAGTGATTCTCAAATAGTAGTTCAAACCATTCACTCCAATCATAAGGGTGACTATGAGTTTTATCTTATTATTAATTCTATAAAAGTCTTGTTATTTGTTAACTCAAACTTTGAGGTAAAGTTCATTAGACGTCAAACGAATATAGTTACTTCCTCTCTTACTAGGGTCGTCAATTCTTGACCTAAACATAATTTGTTTAACTCCATTTCTTTTTGTATAGAACGTTTCCTGATTAATGATATACATTAAGTTTATTTTGATAAAAAAAAAACTAATTGAATATTCAAACTCCTTTGTGTCAAATATTTTTAAATTTATTTGAAAAAATTGCCAATCTATTGTTTATAATTAAACACTATTAATATAATTGTTTTATAATAGTATGGAAAATTAGTTTTCATAAATTATTTTATTCAATTTTTTTTCTCTTCATTTTCGTAATGTATTTTTATCAATTCGTACTAAATCAATCATCTCGTTGTTTTTTATTCAGTTTGATTTGAGTTTTGTTAAAAAAATCTAAAATTTTAATCTAAATTAATCCTCATATTTTTAATCAATTTAGACACCAAATTTTTTAAAAACCAAACCAATCTAATTTGCGAACCCTCCTTTGAACTCTAATTTAGAAGAAAAAAATATACAATAAGTAGAAATAAAATTATATATTAAAATATTGTAAAAAAATAGCAAGTTTCTTACATGAAGACAAGCCAACCTGGTACTAGAGAGGGTGTACCATTCATATCATTATTAATATTAATTATTCGTGCCTCATCACCCCCCTTCTCTCTCTCTCCTAACCTGACGACTAGTCGACTACCATTACATCCAGTCAACTTTCTCTCTCATGCTGGAATTTCCATTTTCTTTTATTTTTCAAATCATTCAAAAAAATCACTTTCTTCAATCAACTTTTTCAGTTTCTCTCTCTTTCTTCTTCTTCTCTTGAGCTCATTCAATTCCAACTCTTCTAACCATGCCACCACAACAATTTCATCGCACAATCAACTTTCATTCAACCTAATTCCCAAATCATTTACCTAAACTAGGTTTTTCTTTTCTTCACACAGGTATTTTTCTTTTTTCTATTCATCATGATTTCTTTCATAATTAACACTCTTTATTCATTTTGTTTCTCTATTTTCCTCAATCATCATCTACCTACTTTCTATTTTTGATCCACTCTTTATTTTACTTAAAACACCCCCCTCCTAAATTGGTAACGTAACTTTCGTCAAAATAATTAACTGAACTAAATTAAGACAATTTTTAATTCTCACTAATTTTTTTGATATGATTCTCAATTATTCAATCCATTTATTGTCTAATTTCTTGTCTCTCATTGCATTGGATAATTTTTCCTATTTACTGCTCACTCCCTAAATATTGGATCATTCACTAAATTATCATAATTATGGAAGTTTATAGTAGTACCAAATTTCATGAAAATTGGTATTCTTTAACAAATTTTAGGTTTTAGAAAATGGCCGCGACAAAATGGTATCCGAACCTTCGGATACCGATATAGTTATTCACCATTTTTATGATAAATAAAAGATTGTGATTAATTCACACCGTGACGACCGCAATTACGGATACAACACATGTTCTGGCGGAAATTGCAAAAGGCTTTATGTGACTGCAACGGTTATTTAAAACCTCAGGATGGATAATTACTGTAGTTTAGTATATGTTTCAATCACAATATGTATTACATATTATTTAAAGAGATGTAACATAGTTAAAGCTATATTGATAAAGAAGTAATTAATGCAATTGAAAATTTGAAAGGTTTGAAAAATGAGTCTTATATTTATGGAGTGGTAATATGAAGTAAGGATCTTAGGGGCTTTGACTTCAATCGATTCGCATTTGACTTTTGCTTGAAGTTTCATTCTTGTGGTTGACTTCTGAACAGTATACTTCTGTCTTTTATTGTTGTTCTTTGTGGCTGACAGTTACATAACTGAAGATATGATGTCTGGAAGCTGGGATGGAAACAATGACCCTGGTAGCCAGTCGGATGATAGCTTACTTTTTGAGAGGTTGCACATTGAGCCTATTTATGATGCTTTTGTATGTCCTTTGACAAAGCAAGTTATGCGTGATCCTGTTACTTTAGAAAACGGACAGACTTTTGAGCGTGAAGCAATCGAAAAATGGTTCAAGGAATGCAGGGAGAGTGGACGGAAACTGGTTTGCCCTTTGACTCTTCGAGAATTAAAAAGCGCAGAATTGAATCCTAGTTTGGCTTTGCGGAACACCATTGAAGAGTGGACTGCGAGGAATGAAGCTGCACAGCTGGATATGGCTCGTCGTTCGTTGAATACAGGGGGTCCAGAAAAGGACGCCCTTATGGCCTTGAGGTATGTCCAGCACATCTGTCGAAGAAGTCGGTCGAATAAACATATTGTCCGCAGTGCAGGGCTTATACCAATGATTGTTGATATGCTGAAGAGTAGCAGCCGTAAAGTTCGTTGTAGAGCTCTTGAAACACTTAGAATCGTGGTCGAGGGAGATGACGAGAATAAGGTTGTTGCAGGTTTGCTAGTTATCATTTCATTTCCTTTTATAGTTTTTTTTGGTATCATCAGTTTGACAGATTCCTAATAACATCTTCTATTTGTTCAAAAGGAACTGTTGGCTGAAGGGGACACTGTGCGCACGGTAGTAAAGTTCCTTTCTCACGAGCTTTCTAAAGAAAGAGAGGAGGCTGTCTCCTTGCTCTATGAACTTTCAACCTCTGAAACCCTCTGTGAGAAGATTGGTTCAGTCAATGGATCTATTCTTATATTAGTTGGAATGACAAGCAGCAAATCTGAAGACGTTTCCACTGTTGAAAAGGCTGATAAAACATTGGAGAATCTGGAAAAATATGAGAATAATGTGCGGCAGATGGCTGAAAATGGTAGATTGCAGCCTCTTCTGACCCATCTTCTTGAAGGTACTTACACTGCTCTATAATTTATATCACATCATATGCATGTTGTGTAGTTAATTTGCTCACCATTTTATGTTAGTTCTCATATAGCAGATCGCTAGACCAACGTCAAAGCCATATTACACATATTTTTGTAAAAATTGTCCTCCTTTTGGAGTTATGTTGAATATGAAGACAAATTGTATTTGTTGCATAAATATTTCACAGATCGTGTGAAATGAATAACGCTTATGTGAAAGATGTTAGAATATGGCTGTTTGGAAAATATATTCTGGGTGAAAAAATTGCTTCTTAAAATTATTTCTTACAGCATCTTGTAGTGTTTTGCTAATGCTCTAGAAAATCATCCCACTTCTAAGGTGTGAAAATCAGTTCTGCCTCTTTACTAGGAATTTAGTAGAACTTATTCTTTTACACAACACACAAAACAGATCAACACTTTTCCCTCTCATAACTAATAAAGAAATGTATCTGAAAAATATTTTCCTCCTCAAAAATTAGAATGGGGTGATAATAGTCCAGGGCCTGCCCTTGGGCCAAGCAGTCCAAGCTAGGGCTTTAGGCCTTAAAAGTTTGGGTAAAAAAATCATAAATATATAGTATGACAGTTAGTTATGTATGTTTTCTTAGTTGAGATGAAAGACGAGGGCCTCGTATCTTCCTTATCTTGAACTCAACCCTTGGTATAGGCAAAATTGATTGTTATTTTACTTTAGAAGGCCTTATGTTAGACTATTATTATTATTATTAGGTGGGTCTTTACCGCTCAACACTCCGTCTCATACAACTAGGTGGCTCTTACAGTTGTATTTGTATGATAAATTTTCCTTTCAATTTTAGTGGTATGTTTGTATCACATAAAACACCCAATGCCTTCTTTCATTTCAACCACTCCGCTTGAATTCAGTTCAGTGGTTTACATTCTTTATCCTTTATACACTTCATTTAGTCCAAGTCTCTTGTCTCACTTTCCTGCTCCTTAGTAAGCCTATATATAGATTTTTTTTCCCTTCTTGATGTTTAAGGATTGGCGTAAGCCATCAAAAAATTTTGTTCATCCTTTGTCCACCGCCTTCATAGTCTTTTTATTAGCTTTGTTATATTTTTCTCAACTTTCAGCGTTTCTACATTTAGACCAAGCTTTAAAGCATTTCCACTTTGTTCTAATTTATCATATACACTTCCATTCCACCACAAAAACTCTTTACCCCTAGATCCGAAATCATCTGGTTCCACACAACATTTCCATTTTATTATGGTTCCTAGAGACCTCCCTCTAAAACCTTGTGTTGGAAGATCCTTTGTTTTTCACACTTTAAAGAACCCTAATGTGGCTTCTTCTCTTTGTTCTCCTCCTATGTTGGATAGTTAAGCTCTCTTCAGGTGTAAAATGTTGGGTAGTTAAAGCTCTCTTCAGGTATGATTTTACCGTCCAAGCAAACCTACCTAGCCAATTTTCTAATAAGAAAGAATCTATTTGAGAACATGTCATTCCACTCTTGCATGTGATAAGATGCTCCTCTATTCTTCTAAAGAACGTATTAGCTCTAGTAAGATCAAAAGCAGACGAAAAACTTAAGATGGATTTATCTTCCGTATTTACCTCCCCGAGGCCATATCCCCCATATCAATCGTTAAAACCTCTCAATTCACTCCCTACTTGCCCATTTAGATCCTGTCCTCTCCTGGATTTTTTTGTTTGTTACTAGAGCCATATTTTGAATTAAGCCCTTTAAATCCTCTCAATACTTTACTTTAATGTGTCCTTCTAACTCTACATGAGTGCATAAACACTAATAACATTAATGATGTCTTGTTCCACTATAAATTTTAGGGATGTCATTTGATCTCTTATCGTTTTTACATCCACAATATGGGTTCTTTCACCCCTGATCAACAATAATTCCTACTCCAGTTCTCGACCTAACTTTGCTAGTGTGCCAAAGCTTAAAACTTGAATTGTCTAAGTCTTTCACCTTTTCACCCATCCACTTAGTTTCTTGTACGCACATGCTGTTAATCACACATCTCTTAATATTTCCATAAATTTTCCAGTTAGTGTGCCTATGTTTCATGTTCCAAAACAAGTTCTACTCATGAACTGGCTTCTTTACTCATACCCATTCAGAAAGATCTGAGAACCCTTGTTTATTTTAGCTGCATCTTAACTACGGTGTAGTGGCTCTTGCTCACTTGAAACTGTATTCGAGCTATACAACGCATTGCTTTCAGGCAGCAACCTAGCTAGCATTCGCATTATAACTTATTTGATCCATGTCATAGAGATTCAACTATGTTTTACGTTGACTGTCATCTGCCTTACACAGTCCTCTCCTTTTATCCGGACTAGAGACCGATTATGCATAGCAAAGAAATATTAGAGGATGTAATACTATTAACTTGAACTCGATGCGAATTTAAGTGCATGCAATATAGTTTTGAACATAAATCTCCTTAATGTGGTTATCAGTATGTGATGAACATGTTAGTCAATGTGAGTCCTTTTATGTATCATAATTCATTCTTATAATACACGGCTTGAACTTAATTTAATTAGTCAGCTATTTTAGTTTTGCCAACTCTGGATAGTCGGTCACTTTTCTGTTGCCCTTTGATTTGCGACTCAAATCTTAAATTATTATGTCACTTGTTTTTACATAAAAATGACTTTTTATTGTTTGTGTATTTTTTATAATCCATAATAATAGGTCTTCGATTTACAATTTGAATCTCAACATGATAACGATGCCCCTAAATATTTGGGATCAAAATGTAGCATTTGCTTGTAGAATTCCTTACTTCTTTGTAGATAATAATCCATTATCTTGTTTTTCTTTGAAATTTTTGCAGGTCCACCAGAAACCAAACTGTCCATGGCTGGAATCCTTGGTGAGCTGGTTTTGGATAATGATGTTAAAGTCTTTGTTGCTAGAACTGTGGGCTCATCTCTGATTGATATCATGAAAAGTGGCAATATGCAGTCAAGAGAAGCTGCACTGAAGGCACTAAATCAGATATCATCATGTGAGCCAAGCGCAAAGGTTTTAATAGAAGCTGGAATACTTTCCCCACTTGTCAACGACCTTTTTGCAGTGGGCCCTCATCTGCTTCCCACACGACTAAAAGAGGTCTCTGCTACAATTCTTGCCAGTGTTGTGAATTCAGGAGAAGACTTCGACATGATTCCACTTGGACCTGATGATCAAACTCTGGTCTCGGAGGATATAGTTCATAAGCTACTCCATCTTATTAGCAACACTGGTCCAGCAATTGAGTGCAAACTTCTCCAAGTTCTTGTCGGACTTGCTAGTTCTCCAACTACAGTGCTGAGTCTGGTTTCTGCTATCAAAAGCTCTGGTGCCACTATCAGTTTAGTTCAGTTCATCGAGGCACAACAGAAAGATCTCCGATTAGCTTCCATAAAACTTCTTCAGAATTTGTCTCCACACATGGGCCCTGAATTAGCCGATGCGCTTCGTGGATCTGTAGGACAGCTTAGTAGTCTAGTTAAAGTCATATCAGAAAATATCGGAATCACTGAAGAGCAGGCAGCTGCTGTTGGCCTCTTAGCTGATCTACCCGAGAGAGATTTGGGCCTCACGAGACAGCTACTAGATGAAGGTGCCTTTCTAATGGCTATATCAAAGGTGATTGCCATCCGGCAGGGAGAAATCAGAGGCACACGGTTCGTGACACCATTTCTTGAAGGACTTATGAAGATTGTTGCTAGGGTTACATATGTTTTGGCTGATGAACCTGATGCTGTCGCACTTTGCCGCGAGCAAAATCTTGCTGCGCTCTTCATAGAACTGCTTCAAACCAATGGACTTGATACTGTGCAGATGGTTTCTGCTATAGCTTTGGAGAACTTATCGCTAGAATCAAAGAATTTAACCAAATTGCCCGAGATGCCAGAACCAGCATTCTGTGCTTCATTCTTTTCATGTTTTAGTAAACCACCAGTCATTACCGGATTATGTAGGATCCACCGTGGGAAGTGTTCGCTAAAAGAAACATTTTGTCTTTACGAAGGGCAGGCCGTCCTTAAATTAGTAGCTCTGCTGGACCACACAAATGTGAATGTGGTTGAGGCAGCACTTGCAGCCTTATGTACTGTAATAGATGATGGAGTTGATATTGAGCAAGGTGTAACGGTTTTGTGTGAAGCAGACGGAGTGAAGCCTATACTAGACGTGTTGCTCGAGAAACGAACAGACAATTTGAGGAGGAGAGCAGTTTGGGCAGTGGAGAGACTGTTGCGAACGGACGATATAGTCTATGAAGTTTCTGGAGATCAAAATCTGAGTACTGCACTTGTGGACGCTTTCCAACACGGTGATTATCGAACTAGGCAGATTGCTGAGCGCGCCCTCAAGCATGTTGATAAGATACCTAACTTCTCAGGAATCTTTCCAAACATGGGATGAGTGTATGTCTGTTGTAAATGTTTCACTGTGATGTTTATGACAAAAAAAAAATCTGTATGTAATTTTTGTGCCTTTTCAATCAGTTTTGGATTGTATCTATTGTGTGTTATATTGTCTTATAAGCATTTATTTATCCAACATTTAGCCTTGGGATTATTGTATACAAAAATTACCCATTTTTTAGGAGGTCTTCATTTGTTGGTTATGTTTCTATTGCTTTTTTTTGCGTGATAAGATTTTGTTTCCTATAATCAAGCTATTTGAGTTTTTGTATCATTAGTTTATTCTTTTATTCACAATTGATGGGCAATATATCTTGAGCTTTTATTTATCACGAAGTCAAATGGATTCAGGTAATTTAAAATGTGGTTGTACATCTTTCATGATGGTGTGATTAAGGATGATAAATCGAATATGCCTATAAAATAGAAAGTGGTTCAAGAAAGATTTTTGAAAGTCGATGACAACAAAAAATTGCACATCAAAGAGAAATTAAGAAAGATTGCTTATCTAAAAATCACATATTTTAAACCATCTTCGTATCTGGTAAAATCAAATGGCGCGGTCTCTGTTCTATTTCGAACACATTGACACACTTTTTTCGGATTCTCCAACTTCAAAATCTCCACACAAAAAAAATGTTTAAAAAGGTGCTCCCATTAGCAAATTATCTCCTTCACCACTTTTACCAAAAATGATACACATCGAAGAGATTCTGGTTTTTATGCACATATACATTAAATAGATTGTAGATGTTAAGGGTGACGGTAACTGCGGTTATCACACTCTTTCAGCTTTGCTCAGTAAAGTAGAGGAGAATCATACACTTATCCGCCAACAACTTATCAAAGAGGTGAATGTGCATAATGAATCATACACAATACTATAGAGGAAGAAAGAACATCTCAATGCAATTCATGAATCTCTTATTCATTGTGTTAACGGTCCGACACTAAAAGTAAAAAATTGATGTGTTTTTCTAAAATAAATCAACTTATCTCGAGTGCATATAGTAAAGTGTGTATTGATCTGACAATCCATGACTTCTCATTTCACAGAAAAAGCTAAAACTTTGTCGGGTAAATTTTTGGATATGATAGAAGAATTCACCATGTTGAATGAGATTGATAGAAAATAAAATAAGAAAAAGTTAAAGGCAGAATCACTCATAGATATAAAATTAGGTGGTGACACATGCTTTAATGTATGTAATGTTGGATTGAGATTAACAATGTAAACTATATGTATTTTGATACATTTTAATCTATAGTTCAGCTTTCTAATATTTTACAACTTTGTGTTTCATAACAGATTTTGTTTTCATATTAGCTTCTATATGAAAAAATAGGGTTAATCCAGAAATGTACTTCTAAACGCACCTCACTTTTTATAAAAAAAATGCTAACATGAATTATTTAAAAATTACATTTTTTATACACCCTTACTTTATTAAATGAAACAAGGTGTATTCGGAAGTAGTGTTTTAAAATCTGAATTGTTCCGTCCGGTCATATTTGAAAGTATATGTTTATTCTTTTAATTTAATTATAATTTTGATTTCAATATTTTCATTTTTTAAAGTTTTTGTGCTCCTCTTTTAAAATTCAATTTTATTAATATTTATAATTATGTTACTTATTTATAATAATTAAATAATATTAAAATTATAAAAATGAAATTTTGTCAAATTCTAAAAATATGATCTATAATCTTTCAAAACTATTAAAATTGTAGTTTTACTATTTGCACCATAAATCTCTTTAATATTTAATTTGTTCACACAGAAAAGAAAGTTATATATTTTATAATTATAACATTTCTAATGCATTCTCATTAAACTTATTCGATATTGATAATACAATATAATAATATAATAAATTTAAAAGGTTAAAAAAATTAATTATATGATGTAATAATACTATAAATTAACAAAGGTATTGAAAAAACCATGTTACCAAAAATAAATAAATTATATTTTCACATTATTTTTAGGAAGAGTCTCATTATTTTTTTTTAAAAAACTTTATGTTACCAAAAGAAGATGAAATTAAATTTTCACATTATTTTCAGTATAATTTTCATTATTTTTTTAGGTAAAAGTCACAATATTTTTACTATTTATTTATAAATTTTTATTTTCAATTATTTATATAGAGCATAAAGTTTATGTTTTGTATTAATTTATTAGTTTATAGTATTATTATACAATACAGTTACTTTCCAATCTTTGTTAATTTATGAGCTTCAATAAATTGTTATGTTTGGAAGTTTGAATTTTATTTAAAAAATTTATTCAACTTATTTTCTTGATTAAATTTATTGAATTCTCTTTTATAGATTTTATAGCTACGAAATTTATGTTAAATTTTATTTCATGATTTTTTTTTTAAAATTTGCATATATTGGATTAGAAGTCATGCGGTCCGATCAGTAACCAAATGACTAAATATCTTGACCGAATCAATGATCGGTCAGAGTTTTAAAACATTGTTTGGGAGTACATTTCCAAAATAACCTCTGAAACGAGATTGAGTTTCTAAGATCCACATTGATCTAAAACTTGTATAAATATGGGTGTCCTTCATCTTGTTAGCAAAACACACATTGAATGTTTCAATCTTTATATCTCTCTTTTGTCCACTTCAACGACGAGAGACCCCCCTCTTGAATTTAGGTTCACAAAGATCACTTGTCTTATTGATCTAAAATCTACGCTAGAGAATTTGTTGCGCTACCCAGACAATTGAAGAGGTATGATGCTTTATTATCATTCACCCTCGGTTGACAACGAACAGAAGATACAATTTAACAAGTTTAAGCTGAAGATGAATGAAGATTTAACTGTTGTTATGTGGAGTACATTTCATCGTTACGAAACAAAATGTCTGATCCAGGTGGATACAAAAGTTGAGAGATCAATAAAAGATATTCTAAAGATGTTGAAACTTCCTCAACCATCACTTAATGATGAAATATAATGTTATATTTATCTTAACAAATATCTATATAATGCTACGTTTTTTTTTATGTATGTCATAACAATGATAAATATTAATTTATGTTGTTCTTCCTATTATACATCTATTTTTGGTGTACCAAACACATAATTTTTTAAAAATATAGTTTCGATTTTATTCTAAAGTTTTGGTACTTTCGAAAATGCATTTTTGTATTTTAGTGATATTTGAGGCATTCACCATAACTCATGAGCACAACTAAGAATGTAATAAGCAATTCCTTTTTTTTTAGTCCCTTTGAACAAACACCCTATGGACTTTGGTTTCAAGCTTTGTTTATTTTTCATATCTTCCTTTGATGTTGTTCTTTCAAGATAATTGCATCCATTTTGTTTTTCCTCAAGTTGAATCACATGAATCTTGCTTTATTATTAAACATAGTGCTTTATTTTCTTACCTTAACAACTGATATTAATAGAGGATTTCTTAATGCACCTTATATGTTACTTACGCACTACACGAAAATATTAAAATGTCTCTCAGATTTTGGAGATGCATTTCCGGACGCACCATGCATCAACGTTGTTGCACACCAAATGAGTGTCATCCTAGAAGAATACTTTAAAAAAAATTGGAGATACATCTATGGAATTTTCAACAAATACATTCACAGTTGATCAACCAAGTGAAAAATCTAGAGATGCATCTTCAGAAGTTTGGGGCAGGATTTTGAAGTTTGGTGTCACCTTTGCATATCAGATATTTCTGGAGACACATCTCCTGAATAATTTAATAAAAGACAAAGTTGCATGATCACACAATCATACTTGTTTTTCACTCAAAACTCTCAACAAAAACTCTTCCATTTTTAATCTATATTTTTACTCTAAATCTCCAATCTTGTTGTTCATCACATCAAAGGGAGTAAAAAAAGTTGGAATTCCAAGTAAAGATCATTTATTTCAAGCTTCATTGCTTACACTAAACCTGTTTTCTGTCTAAAAAATAAGTATTTTTTTAGAAATATATCTCTGGAACAAGTATGATCTCACCCAAAAATGTATTTGTGGTATCAGTATGCAAGGCTGTCAAACTCGCAAATCTACTTAGACTCGTAAGAGTCTGTAGACTCGACTCGCAGACTCGTAAGAGTCTATAGAAATTTAAAAATAACATTCAAAAACCTATAATTTGCACATATATGACACACTCCTGTGTTCTTAAACTTATAAATGTCTCGTATATGACACAAATAAAATAACAACACTATTTGATTTTCCTTTTCCACTTTTCAACTTTAAATTCTAATGACATAAACCAAATTATTCAACTCTTTTTAATGCAACCTATTTTTTTTCTTTTTATGAACCTAAAAAGTAAATAATAATTCAACTCAATGTTTCTAAAAATATTAAAATCAAGTCTATAAACAAACAAATAATAATTCATTGTCATTCAAAGGAATTCCAATTATGTTCACAACTAGAGGAGCTATAAGTTAAACTTAGAGCACAAATTACAAACCTCTTTAATTCTAGAGTCATATCTCCATAGAAATCCTACCCTTCAGTAGGTAACATATCCTTCCTAAACTATTTTCTTCCATAAACCATAAACTTTCTAAACTATTTTGTCACATGCAAATTGATACATGTGATATGGATCATTGGAACTGATTGGACAATAGTGCATCACCTTTACACAAGATATCATACATGAGAAGCGTCAAATTGAATCATATAAGAAAATACTTAGACAACAAAGGATTAATTTAAGTCCATGAACACAAACAAGGCAAGAGGCAGAACAAACTCACATCGTTGATGAAAGGATGAAGAAACTTTGTTGAAACAAGAGACTAAGAGAGAGACTATCTAACTATCATACAAGCAAAAAAAAAGGGTTTTTTTATAAATAAAATAGACTTGCGATTCTATTCGAGTTTGTGCGAGTCTACCCGAGTTTACTCGAGTCTATCAAAAAAATATTCTATGCATGATTCTACTCGTTTATGCTTCCTAGACTCGTAAACTCGTACGAGTT